GGTTACAGTACGATTACAGTCACAGTACAGTACCGTCCGTTTCCCACTCATACGAAATCCGCACTATAGCAAGTGTTGTATGTGTATGAAAAGACACTGATTACAGCGTGGACTCAACACGGCTCAGTCACAAAACCTCACCTGGTAGTTACAGCAAATAAAAATACTGATTCAAGAATGCGTTACAGCTTAATATATTATATTTTTTGCTATTCTAGGTCTATCGCTTGTAAGCACCAATCCTCAATGGGCTGAGCTGGCTCTGTTTTCTTTCATCAATGTCTGTACTGCCAAGAAACTCATGAGAAATGATGTCATATTGTAAGTAATTCTGTATGACTGAGTAGAAATTAAAATGGATGACTAAATGAATAAATGGATGGATGAAAGAATAAATGAAAAAGTGAATACATAATGAAAGGGTGGATAAATGGATTGATGACTGACAAATTGACTTAATGGATGACTACATGAACAATTTCGATTATTATGATTTCTTTATTTATTCAAAAATGAAGAAGTAAATTAACCCATAGGAGAGTGGATAAATGGATGGATCAATGAAAAAAAATTGGATGAATAAATGAATAAAATGGAAATAGATGAACAAACAAATAAGTAAACAATCAATTGAGTGAACACTGTTTTTTTCGTGTTTTTTTTTTCTTTTCTTTTCTTTTCTTTTTCTTTTCTTTTTCTTTTCTTTTCTTTTCTTTTCTTTTTCTTTTCTTTTTCATTTTCTTTTTCATTTTCTTTTATTTCTATCTATCTTTCTTTCTCCCTTTCTTTTCTTTTTTTCCCATTAGGATGTGCAATACAGTGTTTCTTGGGTTTGGTCCAACGGACGACACTAATGAGTCCTTAACAGTAAAAGACGTTGCTGTAGATGAGCACTTGTACACCTTACACTGCAGTAGAACTCCTGATATTAGYGAAGAACAGTAAGTAATATKATGATGATTACAATGATGATKACTGAATCAACTCGTTATAGCGGACACCTTCGATGACGTTATTAACTGTCCTTAATAGCGAGTGTCCGCTGTAAAGAGAGTCGTAACACTCCACTTTCGTTATAATGAACAGCTTAGGGACCATAATTAAGTGTCCGTAATAGTGAATGTCCGCTGTAAAGAGAGTCATTTTTATAACACTCCACTTTCGTTATAACGGTCAACCTAGTGGCCGTAATTAAGTGTCCGTAATAGCGAGTGTCCGCTGTAAAGAGGATCATTTTCAGAACACTCCACTTTCGTTATAATGGACAGCTTAGGGGCCGTAATTAAGTGTCCCTAATTGTGAATGTCCGTTTTAAAGGGACTGAT